GTGCTTGTCCCTATTCTGCAGCATGTTATTCAGCGGTTGTCGTTTGTTGCTGTATGTCATTTTTTTCGTTTTTTATTTTGTACATAAATCAGGCCGTTAGTTTTCTCGTTTGAATTGTTTTACATTTGTCATTTTGGGGCCTTTTATAGGTGACTACTTTTATTGATTTTGCTCATTGATGAATGGCCACCGGTGATCTATAATTGTTAATTTCTGTGTCATTTTTGTATCTTGTGGAGAGTTGTCTGTCAGTCATACCACATCTTCTTTTTTTTATATTATGAATGATTCTCAACTTACGAAAAGGAGAAAAAATATAAAACATTGGAAAAAGTGACACTCGATAATCCCTCTCTCGGAGTATTAGTGATAACAAGAAATTTTTCACTTGTCTGACATAATGTGGGCACATATCCTTTCAAAATATTTATTGTTTGTCTGTGGACAATTATATCATTAATCTACGGTATATATAAGATAAAATGATAAGATTAAGATAATATTTGTTGTGTTTGGATTTCAACTGTAATAAAACAGGCTTATCTTTCTTGATTTGCGAGTTTTGAATTTTGAATTTTGAATTTTGAATTATGAATGATCCTTCTCGGCTTTCGTAATTATCGTACAATGAGGTAAAAGATGTCAAAACGAAGCATTTTTCTTCAGGTGTGCCTTAAATGTTAATAATTTGATTGCAAACGTACTGTCATTGAAATCTGATACTTTTGTATTTTATCAGCATCTGAAGAATTGGTGTTAATACATTATATCATTGATGTTTTTCGAATGTGAGAATTAAAAAAGAATAACTCTTTATTATAGTATATCTTATTAGTTTAAGGTGGTACCTAACACTACAGGGAGATAACTCTGTAAAAATCAGCTAAACGTTTTAATTACGTTGTATTGTTAAGGAAATATTAAGCTTCTCAATGATCAAAATTGGTGTTTGTCAAACTGCTATATAACCAATGAAATTTTTCTGATAAAGTGGTTGGTTCAATTTTTTTGAAATTTTTTAATTTTTGTCAAAGGGTCAAAGTAAACATTTGGTCAAAATTTTATGAAAATTAAAAGGGCCAAATTAATATTAGTCAAGGTGTTGGGTACCACCTTAATATCCTTATAAAATGGATATGTACTTTAATTTCATAAGTGCTCTAAAACGTTAAAAGTACAAGTTCGAATTAGTACTGTTTCTAGTCATATCTTTGAAAGGAAAATATTATTACCGTTAATTTTTTCCAAATTGAAGAAATTGTTATTTAACGAATCACAAAAGAAGTCATTTATTGTAAAAACGAATGCGAGCTTCAGTGCAAATGAAAATTAAAATCTCATTTCCAGGTGTTTGTCAACAAAAGAGATCTTAAAATCTATTTAAATGAATTTAAAGTGTCTTCGGGGAAGTGTTTTGTCAAAGTTTCCTTGCAAACAAAATTTGAATTGAAATTTATTCAAAAGAGGTTGTCCGTCTTATCCAATCAAACTGTTACGTCACATTCAGTGAAAGGGTAACCGAAGAGAAGAAAAGAAACATTCCGATCGGCACGAGACTTGTAATTTGTCTCCTTTTTACTTGATAATGCTATCATTTATCAGTTGAACAGCCACGAACAAGGCCGAAGAGGTGTTATGCAAGAATCCAGATAATGACTCTAATATGTCGACAATACACGGGTCATGAAAGACAGTTTAATTCAACAATAAACATCATCGAAAAAAGTCAGTTCAAGTTAGAACACCTGTGATGCATATCAAAGGAGTAGGAATAAGAAGGTCGATATTTGGCCTAAGAAAATGGAGTTTTTGAGAACTACTTCTATTTGCACATAGTATATGGAAATGCATAATAGAACAAACAACTATAAATGAAATAAACAAAATTTATAATAATTTCTTCATTATATGCGCCTATATTATGAAATTGATGAAAAATGCTAAATGTAAGGTGTTTGCCATCCATATTTCCCTTGAGGAAACATTGTGCACAAATAAGAAACAAAACAACATAATTTTAGGGAGAATTTTTATAGCTATTTATTTACAGAAGCTCACCAAATACAAAGCTATTTCTTAGATGTGCATATAATTTTCCTGTTCTCATGTACGTTAAGTTGATGCAAAACAAGGAAAATTAAGTTCAAAGAAAATTAACCAATTAATTTTATTTTATTATGTTTGGGCCAAATTAGGCCATTACTGTCGCTACTCCTATACTGGGAGTTACTTGTATTTTCAAAGGATTTAAAAGGAAGCAATAATGCTTTAATTGTAAAAAAAAAACCTGTTATCCTTGATTTTAGACTGTGGCTGTGTTTGGATATACGCCTAAGGCAGCCTATGGTTACCCATAGGTATCTTTGGGTACCCATGGTTTGATATTTTGATATATAAAATATCAAACCAAAGGTACCTTTGGATAACCATAGGCCACCTCTGGCGTATATCCAAATACAGCCTAGGCTGTGTTTGGATATACGCCTAAGGCAGCCTATGGTTACCCATAGGTATCTTTGGGTACCCATGGTTTGATATTTTGATATATAAAATATCAAACCAAAGGTACCTTTGGATAACCATAGGCCACCTCTGGCGTATATCCAAATACAGCCTAATTTTAACCCTTCCTACAACTAGACCGGGATAAAAACAGGAAGTTCGTGAATTATCCGGTTATTTGTGAGTAATATGTATTTTATTTTATTACACAAGCGCAATAAATCGCTTTGGTAATCAATTACGATGTTATTTCCGTTGATAGTCAAATAATACCCTGTAAATAACTGTTACCTTACCGTAAATACTTAAATCTATATACATGTATATGCTTTTTTCCGGCTTATAAGTATCAATTTCAATAAATAGTATAGTACGCATCATGATGGATTTCTCCAGTGATAAGGTTTTACATACTTCATGCGAATATCTTTATATCTTATAAATTCCAAATTAAAAAGATGTTAATTTTTACAGATATATATTTGCACATATTACATATTAGAGCGTTTCTGTTGATATCTAAAAACCTTCCATATCAATTCAATGCTCAAGTTATGTGCATGTACATGATATTTCAAGATTTTCAAAACGCTGTCAACTTTGCAAGGAGTCTATTTTCAATACGGTTTTTGCCAACAGAATACCGGTATTATAGTTTCTACACTTTCTGTAAGAAACTAAGCAAAGATTATTTTACAGCCTCGCCTCTTTGAAAAAATATGTAAAACGTTTTCACGGTCCTTTGTAAGATTGTCAATTTTAAGGCAAAAGTGTTTGTGCACATGTAAATTGGTTTAATCGACCAGATTTCGTGACTTTCGGTTCAGACAATCTGGAACATGTGTTGTTCGTTGCTGTGTGTCTTTACATAGAAATAAGAAGATGTGGTATGAGTGCCAATGAGACAACTATCCATTCAAGTCACAATGTGTAAAAAGTATACAATTAAAGGTCAAAGTATGGTCTTCAACACGGAGCCTTGGTTCACACCGAACAGCAAGTTATAAAGGGCCCCACAAAAAGACTAGTGCATGTAAAACAATTCAAACAGGAAAACCAACGGTCTAATCTATATAAAAAACGAGAAACGAGAAACACTTATGAACCATACCAACAAACGACAACCACTGAACAACAGGCTCCTGACTTAGGACAGGTGCATAAAAACGCAGCGGGTTTAAACGTTTTAACAGGCGCCAACCTTCACATTAACCTGAAACAGTGGTATAACATTACAACATAAAAAGACACACAATAAAATATCAATTGAAATGGCTTAACTCGATCAAAAACACAGTACACAAAAACAAGTATATATACACTGAACGAATAAGTTTGATCTATGGCACAATATAACATGTCTATTTTCTATGAGGACTCGGTTATTTTTGGTTGGTGTAGTCTTTATTTAAGCTTAGCATTCAACAAACAATAAAACCATAGATTGCACTAACGGCAACCACTGCCTTTGGGCTCATGGCTTGGGAAAGGCAGGTACAGAATATGGCGGGTTATATATATATATATATGTGTGTGAGTCCTCAACCACCTAACCAAGAACATTGGTCAGTAACAGCATAACATTAGAACAAATTGTAAAATTCAGTCAGACAGGGGCGTGACTCATTATATCGGGAACTTAAATTAATAAAAAGCAATGAAATACAAAATATCGATATAAGAGTACTCGCAGTTACTAAAAGCTAGTTCAAAGCCCAAGTTCAACTAACAAATAATACATGTTTCCGCAAACTTAAGTATTATTTAAATTTTGGAGTACATCATTATTTTTAATCGTTGTTCTTACACATACGTTCCATTGCTTGTAGTATATCATATTTTCCAAAGGGGGAAGCAAATTTCTTACCTTAAAAGAAACTCATTATAAAAGAAAATCTTACCTTTTGTTTTTAATTTTTTTGCTTTTTTTTCAAAATTTCAGACAATCTTACATCGTGCAATTGATCCTGATGAAGGATGTATGTGTTATCCAAAATTTGTATTGATTGTTGGGGCATTTGTTGTCAAATGTTGGTGTTGTTGTTGTACACTTCTGAGACGTGTATCTTACCAATTCTTTGTAAACTGTATAGTTTTTTTTATAACGATCCGACAACTCTTCGTTTAAATAATTGTTGACCATTAACATTTTGATTTATAGCGGCGTTTCAAACAGGAAAATCTGTTATAAACTTGACCTGCAAATTTTTATTTCGTGTGCATTTGTCCTAGTTTTCGCATGCATATTGTGGGCGCTTGTGTGGTTAAATTTTTGTTTTAAAATGCACACTTTATATAATTTGTAACTTGAGTAATTTTCATCTATAATTCATAATTAATAAATTCATACTTTTTAAGTTTGCTGTTATCTGTTCCTATCAAATAATGTATACGGAAAGCCTTTTTGCATCGTTTCACTTACATACACGACTTTCGGCTTTGAATTTATTTCGATTGTTTGCATTCCTAAATAGTTCTAATAAAACAAAAATAACATAGATATCGCAAATTTTTAATAAACATAACAAAAACAGAATTATTTACTGCACTAAATGCTGCACCAAGTTTGTATGAAAGCACCAATTTTGAACTGTATACTTGAAGAGAATATACATTTATCAATTACACTACCACGGTCTCCAAACGTCTCCATTGTTAACGATATGATTTCCTGGGTAACAAACTGATGCAGAAGCCATATTATCGGTGGCATTATCTTCAGTTTTGCAAAATACTTCAATTACAGTTGATGAAATAGCTTTATCAATTCCCTCGTGCATCTGGTGTTTTTCATCCCGAGTTTGTTGATTCGAACCATATAAAAATTCATCATTGTTTGTTTCGGGAGATGAATGGTTTCTTGTGTTTACATTTGATAGCAGGTACGATTGGATATTGCATAGTACTGACTGTGGTATATGTGCATCATCCAGATATCGGCCAATAGTATCCAGACATTTCATGTATCCAAACACATAAGTTGAAGTAGTGTCTGAAAATGAAAAAAGGCCGTCAAATTATAACATGAATTCGTAAAGAGAGTTTACGACTTTTCCAGAGATAAGTGTTGTATTTATTGTCAACTATAAAAAAAATAACCTCTTAATGAAAGATTTCCTGTAACTGCCTAGAGAAAGAATGTAGTGGGTTTTTTTTATTGTGTGTTTTGGTTTTCCTACACATTATAAAATTAAGGAGATGTGGCATGATCGCCAATGAGACAACTATCCACCAGAGTTCAAATGAAGTGGATGTAAGCATTTATAGGCAGCATAACGGCATAATTCAATTGTCTAGATAGGCAAATGTATGTTTGCACGTGCAACTGGTTTAACTGCACACCTTTTGTGGCTGTACCAAGACAGGCTATCCGGACCATGTGTTGTTAGTTTTAGTTTGTCTTAGTTTGAATGTCTGTTTTTTTGTCGGATGAGTCGGGTGTGTTGATGTGTTTCCGGAGGAGTCGGGTGTTTTGATGTGGCCTGTTGTATTGTGCGTTTGGTTTTTTTTTTTGTGATTCTCGTTATCCCTTTTTTGATGTATTTTTTCTATGATGTATGTTTTTTAAAATGTTAAATTGAAAGATTCCATGCTAATGCTGAGGAGAAGTTTGTTTCTTTTATGCATGGACAAGCATACTTTAAAAATATTTAACCGTAATAAGGCTTTCATGTAGGAATATAAAACATTCTTGTTGTCAACAATGACCAAAACCGTTACAGGTAAAGTAAACTAAAAAAAGGTTCATAGATAACAAAATGTAGAACAATACTATAGAGAGAACTTACGGCCTGATTTAAACTAATAACATTTAATGTAAAACCTATGACCGGCGACAATCAACTACTGGACTTCATACTCCTGTCTTTGGCCAATCACATAAAGAATGTGGCGGGATTAATCATGTCTTTACTAATCAACCAACTTTTAACTTGGAACAGTGGTTTAGCAGCACAACAACAGAAGAATATAAAAATCAGTTGACTCGTCAGATTGGTATTAACCACACAAAAACTACTAATAGAAACCAAAACAACCACAAAGTACTATAATCTAAAAGTTCTGAAAGGGAGTTCGAAGTCCAATTTCAACTATTTAATAAACCGTGTTTTCCCAGATTACAATAGCTATCAGTAAACCTAAAATCTGTTTCATTAAAATACACTAACTCCATACTTCTCGTTTGATTTTCTTATTATACTGTATCTTTTGTTTTTCAAACAAGTGCTTTCAAACTTGATCAACGCCAAATGTTTTGTACTTGTTCATTCTGCTAAAATTTAATCATGATGTACGTATGTATATAGTAGAGAGTATACTGTATCAAAACACCTACTACTGATGAAACCATTGAAGACTATGAGTCTACTAGAAGAAGTATCAACCCATTGATTGCAAACTAGGATTTGTTACAAACTTTACTTCATCTTACCTACAGATCCAGTTTTCAATCGTTTTATGTAATCTACAGTTCTCTCCAAGACCTCGGCTTTCTCAAGTTTTACTGGAGATCCCTAAAACAGAATAATTTGCAGTGTATACTATTAGTATACGTTTATACTTTGTTCATGAAAATGTAGGTTAAATGGGATGTATAAGGGAAGGAGATTTTCCAAAACACACTACGAATAACAGTTGGGTTCTTCTATAACTTGCTACATGATATGTTTGTAAATGTAGGAAAATTACAATTATTTGTTTTAAATCAGTTCAGTCTGAATTTAATTCTGAGTTCCCTTGGACGATACATTTCAAGATGTAGAAGCGGACATTGAAATGCTTGAAGATAATTATATTGTTTTGACTTACTATTTGCCAGAATGAAAAAACATACTTTTTGCACAAAAAAGTGATCTAAAATGTGTGAAAAAGGGTCGAAATGTTGCAACATTTGGTACCTAAAAAACTATTTTTGTAAGCGGTTTCGTGTTTTTGTTCCCTGTGGTGGAGACAAACCACCCCAACAAATATTTTTCTTAAACTGAACCCATGACTCCAGTAGTGTTTGATTTTTTTAAAATAGCGAGCAGTCGTGGGGATATAACATGTGACTCTTCATTTTGCGGAGTATTGAAAGGTCTAATTACATCTTTTAGACAAGGTGCATGTATACCACAAATTTAAGCACAGCAAATTACATATGTATTTTTGAAATTACAATGAATAATCTTTGAATATTTACTCAAGGTTATAAACATTTGCATATTGCCAAGTGTTACAATCCGGTGTAGATGATGGGATCGGATCATAACCCTTGGCTAGCGAAGATAGCAAATTACAGAAGTACGACATAAATGTTCAAAAAAATCATTTTTTTTTTCTTTTTGAATTTTCGATTGATTTTGTAACTAATGTTTAAGTTTATTCTTGTCCTTCGTCCCTCTAGCATAATAAGAAAATAAATTCTTCAGTAATAATATACTTTATTAATGTGTTTACTTATAGTTTTGTAACAGTAATAATTACAAAATGCTTTAGGCAAAAATAACTGAACTTACATCGTTATCTCCTGGAGAAATAAGAATTTCTAATTGTTCCAGTAAATGGTTCATCCGAGCTCTTCTTTGACGTTCCGCTATATGCTTCCGGGTCTACAACATTATTATAACAATTCAAACATTTGTTATTTTCTATTTGTAGTTCGAAATTGGTTTAATTTTTTTAAACTTTTTTCGAAAATGTCAATTGAATTTTACATTTCTGTGTTTCCACCTTTTTTCCTAACGATATTTAAACATTTTCATAAGGCAAATCTTTCAATAAGCTCTATGCGTTTAGGCCCTTTTTGAATCAATTGTAATAATTAATAATTATGCTGCTACTTCAAGTTGGTGAGATGATATAATGTTGATTCATTGTTATAGGGTACTTTTTCGTGGATTTCGTGTGAAAATATACCGGTAAACCACGAGTTAAAGTCCTAAACAAAACACAAATTTTCATAATTTTGTGTGCAAAATTAGTAAAAACCACAAACTTAGATATCCACGAAAATACATTTTATCTTCAATCCATGAAATTTGGTACTCTCAAAAATAAATATCTTAGTATCATTCAGTTTCCTTTTTCACCGTGCGAAACATATTCATTGATCTGTTGTCATGTTTGACAATAACATAACGGTATATATTGCAACTATGAAGCATATGCACATTCTGCATTAAAAGCACTTACCGGCTGCCTGTTAAATTTATCGTGTGTCACCAACGACATATTTCTTTAAATTGAAATTTTATTCATTAAGTTACCTTCTTTTTAATCCTCTTTTGAAGTCTTTAAAACACGCTTCCTTTTAAAATTTCCGTTTTAGCCCGGAGCTAGCCATTATTGTAACCGTATTGTGTCCACCACGTGGACAGATTCTTCAATCAGATAATGGTTAAATTGTTAATTATTACAAATACCCCCTTTAACGAGGAAGACACGTGCTTACAAAATTCCTGTTTAAGTACAGGAAGGATCGGTTGCTTCTTTTTGACAAAAAGTAATTGTATTTGGGATTAACTTAGATGTTATAATTATAATGGCTGCCTCCAACGGGATACTTTTTAATGGACAACTTCTACATTATGCATACATTTCTAAACACAAGTTAGCTCCATCTGGTGAAATAATTAAATATCATGGATTGCCTTGCATATTGCATGGATATATATGTGTTAAACTAATTCTGATATACATAATTATTTATTTGTTTCATTTAGGAAAAGTATACGTGTAAAAAAATCCAAAACCACACAATTACTGTCCAACCGGTTTCACTGCTGCACACAGATAATCATGGGGCAATCCTACCACATCTCCTTATTTTTATTTTGTTCAGTCATCAAGCTTTATGACAATTAGTTATTTGAATGCAATACACACCCAAATTTAAGATTAGCAACTACACCTAAAGCACTATGTTATGTCATACAAGACTATTTTTACAAATATGTTTGATGCTGATTAGTTAAAATTGTGACTCGACACCTGTTATTAGTACTGAACAGTTTACATTCATTTAGTAATTGCAACACAATTTATATTCTTATACAGATTATTACATTCATTCTAGAAAAATGTCTTCTGTTTCATGGTGACATTTAAAAAAGATCAGTTTATTCATTTAAAAATGAATAAATAAGAAGAGAGATACTGACTTTTTATCGAATTAATTTTACCGTTATTTTCCAAACGATTATCCTACCATTCCTAAATCGATGAATACCACAAATCGCGTTTTATCGATATCTTATCGATATCTGTGGTAACCTTAACACCGGAGACAAAATTATGTTGATGTTAACAATAAAATCTTGTTACACTGAAAATACTTGGAGATAAAAAAAAATCAAACTTTCAGTGCAAATGTCGGGCCTCTCTTGAAATGAACTCGGTCAGGAGTTTTGACTGACACTGGAAAAGGAGGGTATGTTGATTAATTAAAAATATATTTCAGTATTAATAATCGAATGAATATATGAAATGTATTAAGATTTAGGAGCAAAATATAACGACTACCTTTGTCAATGAGATTATTCAGATAAATATAAAGATCCACACTTAGATGCTTTGTTAACGATATCATCATATTTTCCCCCCTAAACATTTTTTGTCATATCTTTTTAAAGTTTTGGGCCAATTCATGACATGATGATAAAAAATAGATTTCTTGTAATAAGAATATCGCAGTTTCTTAGAATATGACGTATATGTAGAGCAAGTTGTTGACAAACCCCAGTTGGAAGTTTCACTATTAGGAATATTACTATGAAACAAAAAAAGTAATTAAGTTTCTCATAAGTTTGCTTCTAGGACAAAATTACTGTCATTTATATATATGCAAAGCTCTGATTCCTTGCCCGACTTTGGCTTACTTTTTTGTCCTTTTTGGGTTATAGTTCTTCATTTTTTTTAATAAGCTTTGGATTTTCAAACATTTTGGCCTCGAGCATCACTGAAGAGACATTGGTTGGTTGTCGAAATTCGCATCTGGTGCAGAAAAATTGGTACCGTTTATGTTATTATGAATATAAAAAAAGACTTAACAATTATACTTTTATCAGGACCCAAAAGTGCATAGATACATGGACTGTTTTAGATTCTGAATTACTGGCGTTTCATTTATTTTGTTGGGTACCAATTTTCGTGGATTGAGAAAACGTATTTCCGTGGATTTTAATTACGTGGTTTTGACAAATTCTGCATTCAAAATTACAGGAAATTAGTTTTTTATTGAACACATTTTTGAACACCCAAAATCCTGGTTCGTCTATACCTTTTTAATCCACGAAAATTTCAGAAAATTACTTTTATTATAGTTTTGAATGTCTTCGTGGTAGCTTCCACCTCTTTTTTCTTTTCCAAATCAGGAGCGATATTAGAAAAAATTCTTGTAGTATAGAAAAACATGGTACAGAAATATACAAAACGAAAAAACAGCTCAAGCCCTCATATTTAATGGTAAATTTGACTGTTATTCATTGTAAAGCGCTAACACGATTCATTTGCGTTCAATTAAGGCATAAAACGCAAGCAAAGAATTTTCACCATTATTATCGGCTCCAACAAAATAAACAATTGCCATTCGCACATTGAAACAAATATGCCAGAAGACGGGCGTAGTTTGTACCCATTTAAAAACCTATAATGTATTATTTATCACCAAGTAAAGATAAATATTATGATTATATCCATGTTTTAAATCATCTCCTAGTATGTTCTACAAGTAAATTTACTTGATGTTTTTGTGACGAAAAAGAACATTGCAACGGCAAAAGCAAATATATATTCATGTATGAAAAAAAATGTTTTTCATTGTATCTTATTTTTGGATACTAGTAACTCAATGAAATGTTGTCCAAAAACACTTTGCGATAATTATATCTATCTAAATTTGTAGGTATCTATGAGTATCTGTCGAGATTCTATGCGCCTACGGTTGTGTTGGCGTTATGTTTTCTGGTTTGTACGTCCATCTGTTCTTCAAATATAGTCCGTTACGTACAATGTTTAAGTTTTTGGTAAAGATATGAAATTTAGTACACATGTTCATTGTAAGGTGGACGTTTAAAATTGTATGACAAAATTTCGATTTCGACCCCCAATTCACGATTCACTAAACATGGACATATAATAGTGCGAGCACACTTATTCTTGTTTGTGATGTTTCATACATAAACATCAAAGGACCACATTTCACGGATTACCCTCATACCAAGGAGATAATATTCATCAAGTGGTTTTTTTTTTTTTCATTTCTTCTTTTTTGTATTCACGTAAAGCTTTTAATTTCGTTTCATCTACATGTACACTTTAAAAAAAAACTATTGTAATAAAACATATTTATTTGAATACTGATTTTCCTAACCAAAAATTAAAACTTTGAGTATAAAATATGGATTCATGGTACATATAAAATGTACATTACATATTTCATACTTTTTTTGCAAGGACTTTGCTTTTCAAAGATAAACCATGTAGCCTAGACGTTTGAAATATATTAATGTATAATAATCAGAATTCAGAAACGGGTACAGGCAAAGTGTTTACACTTTTATAACACAAACAAACCTACGAAAAGTAAATTAATCATATACGTCTGGTGATAACCGTGAACAAATAGGAAAACTATAACACCTATGTATTAGTACCAAATTATATCAAAATTAGAAAAGTGATTTACAGTAATCTAAACCTTAATAAATTGTTTTAATCGCTTTTGTCCTTGTTATGTAACACCACTACCATTTATATGAAACAGTGACTATTCTAAATAAATGAAACTACAATACAAAAAAAATATCTCAGCTTTCTATGTAATCAGATTTGAGACGTTCATCTTTTCAGTAAAAATTTCAACTAGTCCTAATAAAAGCTTTATAAAGAAAATACAAACTTGCGCAATTAACCACGATGAAATGTTACCCACATTTGTGACGCAATGAACGATAAACTGTCATTGCAACGGATGTCCTCTAATTGAGTCTTATGTTTGAATTCGTGACTCAAGACTGGATACAACTACCATGAAGAAAAAATAATGCATCTGTTTTAATATCATAAGCTTCGAGACGGTAAGCTCTTTAGATTAAAGAACCTATACCTATCCAATCCCAAGCTTTCCAGAAAACCCAACTAGTTCTAAATATATTTAAAAAATGAGTAGGAGCAACATACTAGTATCTGATTGTTGACAATTATTAGACGTGCATATGTGAATCTGTTACATGTTTCTCTAAAGCATTAGACCTTTCAGTTATTTTGTCGTTATTGTTTTGAATAGATCCATTTCTGTTGACAACGTCTCTTAAACGATTGAAGGTAGTTTTAAAATTTAACATCAGAATAGGAACATCTAAACCAATAATAATAATCGTTACTAAGGAAACAAATATCACTCCGAACACTCCAATTACTGCTGAAGATGTCCTAGGGTCACTTGCGCTGTAAAATTTTCTTAAAAAGATGCTGGTTTGTCTCCTGTCAACTTCGATTGCTTTTGTCAGACTTTCAATCTTTTTTTGAAGGTCATTTGCTGTCAATGTTGGTGAAATACCGGAAACAATATCAGTGTCTTCCGATGACAAGTCGATACTTATAGCA